TCGCAAAATGGCCTTTGCGAACGAAGCCGCCCGCCACCCTTTGAACTAGCGAAATCCTAGGCAATACAGACTTCCACAATGTAAGATGAGACGCTCTCGAACAATTTTTTTGGAGTCAAATTTCTAACCCTTACCCGAATTTCAATTATATAAGTATTTTTTAAATGATTTTTATTTGCCGTTTTTCCCGCACGGCGCTACTTTTTGGGGCAGAGCCCGTTAATCCTCGATTTTCTCAAGTTTTTATGATCGAAAGTTTTCTTTACCTCACCGGGATTCGGGATAATTTTAACGAGAGAATGTCTTTTCTTTTTTGACGAAGACTTGTCTTGACTTAAGAATTCGCGCGAGTAAATTATACTTGCTAAAGACTGATTTGAGTTCGGGGCGCCGTGCGCTCATCTATAAAAAATTTTGTTGGTTCCCGCATGAATAAGGCAAAATATAGACCATCATGCTGCATGATTCATGCATTTTAAGTAACAAACAAGAGAGCTGCTTTTGGTCTTCTGGCCAATCAAAACCCTGATCCAAAACATCACTTCAAGTTTTGGTTTTGCTTAAAAATACACATTACTCAAAAGCTCGCTAATTCTACCCATAACCAATTTTTGACATTAATCCAAAACGGGTACCCAGTACCAAAAAGTGTCAAGATTAATCAAAAGGGTGAATTCGATCAATACGAGGAGGAGAATCACAGTTCAACCGCGGAACGGACTCTTGTTTTTTTTAATGAGCCAAAGAATTGTTAAAATTGGTTAACAATGATGTGGGTTCCTGACCCCAATTTTCGATCGCGTTTGCAATTGCTGTTTACGAAAATGCTGGAGAAGTTGAGGTCAGTTTTTTAGGTCTTAATCATAAATTGCCAATTTAAGGGTACAGGGGTCGACGTTATATGTGGTCTTAACTTGAAAGTATCACAATATCAATTATGCGACGTGAATTCTCCGCAAGAAATAAAGTAGACGTACAGTTGAAAGTGAGTTGTTAACATTTGTAGTTTCCGAGATACGAGCGCTAAAACTTTGACCGAAAAAAATTTTTGGCTTGGATTTTCGTCATTTGGGGCTCTTTCGAAAGCGCAGAGCACGAAAAATCTAATGGTAGCCTTGGTTTTTAATGATACCAGATATTTTGGATTTTACAGCAAAAATCGTTTATCGTTATTTCAAAAAATGCAATTTTTAACGAGATTCACTTTTCAAAAAATTAAATTCGATATTTTTATTGATTCTATCCGGGAACGGTCGGTTACAATACCAAAGCTTTTTTGGTATTCCAATACCAAATTTTTTAGACAATTTGGATTTTCCGCCCGAGAAATTATTAAAAACAATCCTAAAGTATCGTATAATACAGGCGCGGAGCGCACACCCGATTTTAAATTTTTAAAAATTGACATTTTTTGCGGACTTTGGTATTGGAATACCAAAATTCCAAATCTATCCACGATTTCTTTGTATACAAAGGCTTCAAAAGGTTTGAAATTTTATTTAAAAATATACTAAGTGTAGGTTTATAGGTTCAATTCTTCAGAATTGAAGCCAATTTTACCGGTTGTCACTTCCAACCTTTCGGGATCCCGAATCTTTCGGGATTTCCCGAATCTTTCGGGATTTCCGGAACCTTTCGGGATCGCCCGAATCTTTCGGGAGTTTTGGTGAGGATAACGTTAAAAAAAGTGGCCTAAATGCCGAATTAGGGCATTTTACTAACCAAAAAGATAACTCTACCTGCCTTCGTCGAATTCGATGGTCTAAGAAGTCCAGACCTTTTATAAATGTTGAATTTGTAGTCAAAGAGAATGTGTGCGCTCCGCGCCTGTTTTATAGAGAACTTCATGAGTTAAAGATCCATTTTTTCGAGTTAATTATTTTTTTTTCCTTCGCGCCTCCATTTTCTTCAATAAAGATGTACTTTGACGTTACTGTTTGGCTTAAAATATTTTCTAGGATAGAAACTATTGAAAATCATCCCCGAAAGGGTCGAAGACAAAAAGGCCCTTTTTTACTGCGAACGTTTCGGGAAATCCCGAAACATTCGGGATCCCGAAAGGTTGGAAGATTCAACCAATTTTACCCTAATATAGGTCGAGATGCCAACTTTGAAGCGATTTTTTGGCAAGAAAATGCCTATCAACTTTAGGTTTTCTTCTATACAAGTCATGATCTAAGTTCAAATTAACTATTAATGAAAGATTCAAGCCCCCAACTCTTTTGGGTTTCCCGGAATAAGGCCATGGTTAGAGCCTCGTCGACCCCCGTAGCCTTAAAATTGGAAATTATAAGATAAGAATACAGTCATTTGTATTCTTTTGTTATTGTTTTCCCATCTTTGATTTTCTTACCACTAAACCCGCGGAGCGGGCATTTAAAGCGCACATACTCAATAAAAATAGCTGATTACTCATAAATTTTCTATCTTTTAGCGCAGGGGTCTGGATTTCGGCCAAAAATGAAAAGCGAAAGCGAAGCGAAAGCGAAAATTTTTCAAAAATTTAAAGCGAAAGCGAATCAAAATTTCGAAAGCGAAGCGAAGCGAAAAAATTTTCCAAAAAGCGAAAGAAAAAGCTTAGTTCAATCAGCAAAATTTACAACTCTTAGAACGTTTTCTTATGGGCGATATTTTCGCGAAAATTTTTGGTAAAGCTCTGCTTCGCTTCGCTCATGAGCGAATTCGCTAAGCGAATCCAGACCCCTGATAAGCGTAAAAAATGTTGAAATAAGGAAATTTAAGTAAAAATGCTTATCGTTTCAAAATAGATTCATCCTATTTTATTGGTTCATTTTTTTGGTTAAACCCTTTTTAAAAAAAAATTTGGCTTATCTCTGTTTTAGCGCCTTTTACGGTCGATTTATCATCCGCAGAATGTCTACTGCATCCACGCTGATAAGAAATCTCCTGATGAGTTTTATGAAGCCCTTGAAAGCCTCGCCAGCTGCTTTCCGAATGTCTTTTTAGCGTCGAAAAGAGAAACCGTCACTTACGCTCATTATTCAAGGATAGGTTGCATTTATGACTTCCAAATTATTTAAGAATGCCTGATAAATTATCAGTGATAATTTATTCCCATAGCTAATTAAGACTCAAATTGTTCCAATTTAAATCGAGAATGCATAACCAGGTTATGCAAAATCCAGGAAAATGCATAACCTGGTTATGGCATAACCTCAGCGCCCGACACCCGATTTCAACCGTTCTGAGACTGCAAGCGGATTTAAACTGTATGAAAGATCTTTTAAATCACCCGATCAGATGGAAATACTACATCAATTTATGCGGAACGGACTTTCCTCTCAAGACGAATGCAGAAATGGTCCGCTATTTGTCTTATATCTTGGCTTTCCATGAACAAAAGTGAATTATTTCTAGCCATGAAAAAAGTGATCTTTCAGTAGCAGATTGTTAAATACGATTATTTATTAAAAACGTGCCAAATTAACAGGTGAAGCGGGACTGATTGGTCCGTCAATAAACGGGCACAAATTAAAAAAAGTAAGAATAAAGAAAGGAAGTGAGAAAAAAAGGACGTGCGTTTTTGGAAGACCAATAAGATGGCTTCATTTTGCCTACCGGCCAATGAAAACCCATTCCAAAAACATCACTTCCTTTTTTGTAACTTCCTATCTTTACACCTATTTTTTTGGTTTGGCCAAATAAACGGGGGTCATTCATAAGAGAAAGAAATCGGGTCAAAACAAGAAAAGGAACAAATAAGGCAAGAAGTGACGAGGTTGAAGTTTAAATTGAAAGTTTTTCTGCTAAGTTTTTACAAAACAGTATAAGTAAGAGGCTAGTTGGTGATTTTCTGGTCGAGGTGTCGGAATTGCTCGGGCTGCCTTATAATAGGTGAAAATATTTTTGTGAGATTAGTTGACACCTAAATGTTTTTTTTAGTCGCGGGTAATCCGAAAGGACCCGGAATCAACAGCCCTGGAGCTGATAATAATTGGAAGTGATTTATTTCAAAAATCTAACATCAAAAGACTTTAACGAAAGCGGCATCAGAATCAGAATCAAATTTTACCCTATCATGGAAGTTTTCAGAGAATTCTAATTTTTAGTCTTCCATATCTTCATTTTTGAAGATTATCCAGGCTGAGCTTGATCATGATTTCCGGCTCAACATGCACCTAATTTCTTTTTACTCAAGGATTCACACCGAGACTTGCGCCAACTTGGGCCCAGGAGCAGTCTCTGCAGGAGTTCACACCGGCGGCGTTGTCCCTTGCATCTCCTTCACTCGGCTTGACACCTCCTGCACGTTCACACTCGGCGGGAGTTGGGCCAACCGAGTCCGTTTTCCCCCGTCACTTCATGCCGTATTTATTCCTTGTCTTGGTTTGTACCAAAAGTGGTATTGATTCGGAAAAAACCGCACAGACCCGCACAATCTTGATCCGACTTTTTTTTGGGAAACGGTCGGACTCATTTCCAATTGGTAACACATTTCTAATTGGTAACACATTTCCAATTTTGGTAAGGCATTACGGTAAATTCGACGAAAAACTGTCAATTTTTTTTCATTCGAAGAGCGAATTTGTGCTCCCGCAATTTACTCGAAAAAATCAAAATAAATTGGTAATGAACGACCAAAAATTGGTAATGAGTTACCAAAATTTTCGGTAATGAGTCCGACCATCCCGTATTTTTTGGGTCGCAAAACTTTAACCGCATAGGTAAGAAGGGGGGGGGGGAGAGGCGCTGGGACAGAAAGTGCATTCCACTGTCATTCATTCCACTGATAATGTGTACCAAAATTTAGTTTCCTTTAATTCAAGCGCGAAGCGCACACTCGTTCGATGATTTCGATTTTGAATTTTTGTAACGCCGTTACAATTTTAACTACTTGTAACGTAGCCGCCCTACACCCGTTATTTGTCCACTGTGGGTCAATATCTGTGCAAGGCTTAATCATGGCTAGAAAAATAGTCAATGTTTTTCATGGAAAGCCTTCTTTTATAACACCACAGAACGAAATCGAATCCGTGCCGATGACTCCACAAAAAGAAGATCGACTAAGGTTGCGCTTCAAGTTGGAGAAAGGGGAAAACGGAGAGCTTGAGGTTGTTAGTACAAAGCGGGAGAATTCCTCACCACCACGTAAGAAATACATAAGCAATTTGAATTGTTAGAAATGTGTTTAAGACGGAATCGGAAAATTTGCAGGCTCCGCGTACAATATCCTCTCCCGTGCGTTCGTTGACTACACGCTTAACAATTCAACTGTGTTAGAGATTCTCCATTGGAGCCGCGATACGCTCACGCCAGACGAGTTTCTCTGGGCAGCACTAAGCAGATTTCCAGGAGCGCCAGGCTCCTTACCGTCAAATCGCCAATATGACAAGAATGAATTCCAGGTTCGCTTTTTACAAAAGATAAAAAAATCAATATACTCTTCGACATTTTTTTTCGTTGATCTGAGATCAATGATCTCCCAATGAATAAACATTTCGGCCCAACGACTAAACGTTAACCAGGGGTCTGGATTCGCTTAGCGAGTTCGCTCATAAGCGCTTTCGTTTTGGCCAAAATCCAGACCCGCGCGTCAACCAAAAATAATCACAAAACACGCACGAAGTCATCTTATTACAAAAAAATAATAACAGTCAAAAAACTAACAAATAAATTTTCAGAGTCTCGCAAGAATTGTTAAATGGCGAGGTCACGTTCAAAATGGACTCTATCCAAAGTGCTATGGAAGCTATCGCCATGGAATCTGCATCTATGGAGCAGGCGATTTGCCCTGGGTAATTTAAATAAGTCCTTAAGGCATGAACGCATGAATTAATTTTTCATTGAGAGAATATGGAAATATCCAAATTTTCAAACTAGGCCCTAGTTCAGAACCAGATCCAACGAACCTCTTCTTCACGAAAAACTCTTACGGTTTTGGCCAGAAGAGTTGTTGATAGTAATTAAAGATAGTAATATAATTCTGTAATGGTTTTGCAACCTATGCAAATGAGTGAACACAAGAGAAATATACAGACAAGTGAGCAAAGTTGGCTGTGTATAAAAGAGTAAAGTTTTTGAGCTTTTATTTGATCTATTCTCTGAGCGAGCAAAAGTGAGAATGACTGTGAGAGAGATGGTGAGCGGTTTTTATAGTTTTTCAAATTTTCGGGTTCCCAGTAGATTAATCGGCTGTTATTCGATCGTATCGTTTCCATCGGATAAATTGAACATTGAACGTAATAACTCGTTACCAACGGATTTTGTCACTGGAAAAGGAATAATTCCATTTTAGCGGACTAATCGGATTTCGAGCATCAGGACGTGAGAATAATTTGAAGAGCGGCGTTTAGAAACGGATTATTTGGTTTTTCAGGAAGAGCGCGCGTTTTAGAGTCGATTATTTCGCCAGCGCAAGTGCGCCATCATTTCACTTACGCGCCGTGCTCGCGTGGCAAACTTTGCTTTGCCCCGCGGCGTGATCGTAATTAGAGCAATTCTGTAAAACCACTACAATTCCTAAAAACCTCTCACAAAGTTTGACTGGTATCCTTTTTTTCTAGATTTGAAGAGATAGGCTCTTTCAAAGGAGAAGTGAAGCGGTTTCGGAAAAAATAGCCATTTTCAAACGGCCGTCACGCTCAGATGGGCAGGAAAAGTTTTAAAGAATATTTTTTGTTTGTAGCATTAATCGGGTGGCGACGGCTTCGTTCGCAAAGGCCATTCGCAAAATCGAAAAATTTTTGGCCGAAATTTGTTCACAACATTTTTCAAGATGTGTCCCAGCGGAAGAAAAAGACTGCTCCTGCCAAGCCAATGAGTTGTCTACAAGAAAATGCGCGAAGCGCACACTCACGGCAAGATTTTTTTTTGTTGCGAACGGCGTTCGCAAGATTACGAACGACGTTCACAAATTGCGAACGAAGCCGCCCTACACCCCATTAATTTTTAACTAGAATTTTTCAACTTTAGTTTTAAATTTTTGTTATCGAAACAATTTATCTTTGTTTTCCCCATCATCGAAGCTATTTAAAATCGAGAAAAAAAGTGTTAATTTTAATCAAGATTCACCAGGATAACGCCACTACTAACAGAGTTTCATTTAGCTACTCAAACAGAAGCACCTCTTTGCGAACAAGTTCAGCGCATGGAACGACGATTTGGCGCTACAGTGCTTAGAAAATTATTTGAGAAAAAAAGAGCTGTCTGAAACAATTGAATTTTCTAAAAAAAATAAAACTTATCATTTGTAAGACTTTTAAATTTTCTCTTTTTTCTAAGTTTGTTTATAGACCACTACGTCAAGTGGGTAGGCTTGACTCTCCCAGAAGCTTCATCTGCCCAGCCTGGGAGAATGAAGCTTCTGAGTCCAATGAAACAAAAGTTATGTAAGTAACTTTCTCCTAAGTTCAAAGTTATACCTAGGCTTACCGCGGTGTTTTCTATTTTGCAGGTTCTTTCGAAAAATCTTCCCATACTTTCAGAACATATGCATCGATTTTGAAAAAAGGCAATTTTTGAAAAGGAGCGGATTTTGAGTCTTTGCTAGATCGATTTTGATAATTTTAAGCATACAAATGACCACTCTAAGGAACGTCTCTTCTCAGAAAATACGTTAACCCCTGCCCGCATATCGACTTACGCGTAGGTAAATTGACTTTTTTACGCAATTTTACTTCTGGAAAAACGACATTTGTTCATATTTGACATTAGACATTAAAAAATTGATTATAATAATGAGCTTATATGCGCTCCGCGCCTGATTTGTAAGAATACTCTCTCATAAGGATGCCAATTTCGTTAACTTTCACGATTTCAATGATTTTAGCTCATATTTTGGTAAAGATTTGGTGAAGACAAAAGCCACCCACCCAGAGCATCAGTCACTCGAAAAATAGATTCTTTAGAGAATATAAATACTTTTTGCAGAATTCAAAATTTATTCACAGTACTGTCACGACAAGCATTGGCAGCTGCCAATTCTGGCAGTCAATTGACAGTGGCAGTCGGCATTTTAAAAAAACTTGCAGTTACGAGCAGCTGCCAACCTACTGTCACTTCGAAAGATATAAATTTCTATATAAAGTTTTCTTTCTTGAACCACAAAAAAACAAGAGAAATTGGCCTAGTCAATAAGTATGACGGGCTTGCAAAAATAAAAAAAAGTATGCTGGCTAGCGTTTTCCTCCACTGTTTGCCAACTGTTATAGTTTGGCCAACATCTTGGCGCTTGTATGACTTGCTCAATTTAAATACGACCAACGATTATAAATTTGTCTCTTATGGTCTTGAATCGAGAAAAAAAAACGTCTAGAAATGAGTCCACAATAAACATAAAATGCAAGCAAAACTACTTGCATATCTTAACTGGGGTCGGCAACTTACCACTTGCCAACTTGCCAACGACTTTTATTTGAGTATTTTTTTGTAGACATGAATCAATTTGTATGGCTTTAAAAATAATTTGAACATTGCTCTTGCTCATAATTTCCCGTAGTATGAATTCATAGAAATTTTATTCATCGGTCGTTGAAAATCAATGTATGATTTTTATTCAGGAAATCTAGAAAAAAAATTCAATCTTTGTTTCTTTTATATTTATTTGAGAGTGGAGGAAATTTTAACTCGTCTGGACATTTAAACCCATTCCGGCGTTCGCAAAACCGAAAAATTTTTGGCCGAAAATCGTTCACAATTTTTTTCGAAATGTGTCCAAGCGGTAGAAAAAGACTGCTCCTGCCAAGCCAATGAGTTCTTTACCAGAAAGTGCGCGAAGCGCACACTCGCAGCAAGATATTTTTTCGTTGCGAACGGCGATCGCAAGATGACGAACGGCGTTAGCAAATTGCGAACGAAGCCGCCCTACACCCGTAATAACGAAGAGTTACAAAAGAGACATTGTTGGTATCTACAATATTTATTACAGCTCTGATCACAGAAAAATGCAGAAATATTGAAGAGTGACAGGATATTTACAAATTCATTCTAGTTAATTGTAAAGTCGTCGAAGAATCCTCCTGATCCTCTTAAACAGTGAAAGAAACAGTGTGTCGGACCATTGGCAACTGCTTATTTAAATTAATTTCTTTGTTTCTCGCAAAATGCCGGGCCATTCCAGTTTAAATTTGTATGCCCTTGTCTTGAGCGATTTCTCGGAAGATTCCAGTAAACATCACATCCTCGAGGATGAAACCAGATAGGCTTTTAATTGGTCAAAAAGAGATCAAAATTATGATTTTAAAAGCGACCGTTCCGATGAGTTCTCGCAATTTCAAAAATGTCCTCTGAAGCTTTTTTCGAAAAAGATGCAGCAGGTCCATTCTGGGTTCGGCAAGCTGAGCTGTGTTAAAACCTGTCACAGGTCCTGTTTCCTGTTTTTGGGGAACCTGTCTGAGTACCTGTGTAAAATCGGGTAATAATGAGCCCAGGGTCCATTGGCAATGGACCATTGCAAAAGCAGCCATTTACTGCATTACAACATTACTACCCTACTTAATTTCTAACTTTGTTTTCGTCGGTTTTCGCTGTTTTTACGTGTCTTTCGGTAGGTTTTCTTAGTGTCAGCGGAAGGGCTGCAGCGTCGGAAAGATCTCTGGCGCTGCTGTGTACGGCCCTCATCTCTCTCTCGGAGAGGGATCACTCTTGTGAGGAGCCGCCCATGACTCCTTGTTAATGACGAAGAAAGAATGCCGCTCAGAAAAAATCAATAAGACTCTTATATTTATTTTCTTTTGCTTTATTACAATAAAAAAAAATTGAAAATGCACAAATAAAAGGCGCATCGAAGGTAGTATGACCTCAAAATTCGGCCAAAAGCCGAATTTTTATGAAATCATATATTAATATGGATCCATATGGATGAATAATTCGGCCAGCTTGGGCAGAATTTTTCACCAGAATACTTTGTAAAATCTGAGCAATAATTCGGTCAATTTGGCCGAATTTTTCACTCAGAATTTTTGAAAATATAGACGAATTATTCGGCTATAGGTGGCCGAATTTCGAGATCATACTACGGCATCGAATCATCGATCGCAGTCCAAGTTTTCAGTCGCAACTTTGTGAAATATCAATTCTAGTTCTGCAGGATTTGACATCTCGTGCGCCACAGGCACCTTCCGTAAAGCACAGAAATCACCTTCACGAATGGCATCCTTTGAATGAAGAATTCCTTCGCAGATTTCATTCGAGCTTCGCGCTTTTTCTCGCATTCCAGAGGCATCAATAAGGGAACCAATGTAAACATCGTCCAACGGCAACACAGATACATCGGAAATTGCTTTCGCCAAATTCATTGAAAATTTCCCAGTTGTCAAATAACCTGCGCCCAGAGTTCGAAAATCTGAAAGATAATGGCGACTGCCACTGCCAAGCGTCTGCCAGCTTTTAAAATGGCGACTGCCAATGCCAACTGACTGCCAAAATAGGCAGCTGCCACTGGCAGCCATAGTTGGAAAAACACCCAAAAATCGCGTGCGCGTGCGAATTATTATCGAAATCCGAGTGCGCGTGCGTGCGTGCGCGTGCGTGCGTGCGCGCACGTGCGAACACGCCTGCGTATTTTTCAAGGTATATTTTCAAGTATTTTTGGCGAAAATTTTGGTTTTTTTAAGAATTTTTCTTATGAATTATGTTTTATGAAGACTTTATACCTATAGAAGGTAATCAGGGGCTCTTCCAAAAGAACGAAAAATTATTTTTCTTTGTTAAGGTATTCGCAAAATTTCCGAGGAAGGAAAAAAACTCCAAATTCCGAATAAAAACCCTTTTTTATCCTATTCGTGCGCGCACGAGCGCGAGTTTTCGAAAATCTTGCGTGCGAGTTTGTGCGCGTGCGCCGTATTTTCAAACTATCCAGTGGCAGTTACCAGTCGACTGCCAAAAGCTGCCAATTTTGATACTATTTTTAAGAATTTTTAAAGTCAAACTAAGTTAAAAACAGTCTTTTTGACGGTTTAAACTTATAGAAGAGACAATATCTGAGATAAAAATGTCTCTTTTGATTAAAATGATTGAATAATTTAGGTCTCGAGACTCTCGAGTCGAGAGCGAATTTGGATCATAACTTATGATTCATAAGCGTTGTTTTTTTTGTGGTTCTTGAAAGAAAACTTTATAAAGAAATTAACATCTTTCGAAGTTGAAGTAGGTTGACAGCTGTCAGCCCTTGAAAAATTTAACTGCCACTGCCAAGTGACTGCCGATATTGGCAGCTGCCAGTGGCAGTCGTGGCAGTACTGCCAACGAATTTCGAACTCTGCCTGCGCCAGAATAGAAATCGGGAAGACCATCTTCTTCAAAGAGTTGTTTTGGGATAAAATACTTGCTCTTTAGGTTTCTTATTGCAAGAGATTCCTTTTTCAAGCAGCCGAGAGCTTCGAACTCGTCCGTGTTCCTGAGCTTGTCAATCTCTTGTTTGAGATTTCGAGGGATCAGAAGGATGTCATCATCGCCTTTGAACACGAATTGGACAGAAGAGCAGGATTCTTTGATGAACTTTAGGAAGGCGATGTGGTAGTATGACCTCAAAATTCGGCCAAGTATAATTTGATTTTTTTATTTTTCCTAATCCTACTCCTAACCCGGGGGCTTCGCTTCCTGGGACCCCCCTTGGGTAAAAGTACGCAGTTCCTAACCCTAAGGCCTAACCTAGGGGGCTTCGCCCCCTTGGAGCCCCCCTAACACTAACCTAAAATGAGGGTGGCCGAATTTTGAGATCATACTACGGGCGATGTCTTTGAAAGGTAGGTTGTGATGGCTTTCTTCCATGTCGAGTGTCAATATGTCATTGTTTTTCTCGATTTCTTCCTGAAGAGCATTCTGTTCTGATGATCTACCGTATTGTGGTCGGCAACTAGTCAGGAAAGCAAGGGATAGGCTTCAATAGTTTGAATTAAAAATGCAATTTTTTGAGTTCTTTAGCTTTTGCTAGGCTATTTCGCTGTCATGTAGTCTATAGAAATGGGGTAGACTATACGGGAGACCCTCGACTCGCCGGGATTTTCGCCTGATCCTCGACTCGCCGGGAAAAAATATGCAGACAGAATCCCGGCGAGTCGAGGGTCACCAACCCTAACCCTAACCCTAATCGCTAACACCATTTCTCAACACTAACCCTAAACCCTTACCTTAAACCCAAACTATAACTCCTACTGAACCATTTCTTAGGGAAATATTTGGTAAGGAATGATTTAAAATATCAAATATATCTGCGTTAAAAATGGGTTTAATTGATGATTCTAGCAATTTCTAGAAGACCCTCGACTCGCCGGGAAAAAAATGCAAACTCCCGGCGAGTCGAGAAAATCCCGGCGAGTCGAGGGTTCCCGGACTATACTGTATAGTCTATACAAGATTTTACGATACAGATGTAAAAAGACGTAAGGGGGTGG